ATGTGACCTAAAATCAGTAACCATAGCAACCGACCCATGTGACCTAAAATCAGTAACCATAGAAACCGACCTATGTGACCTAAAATCAGTAACCATAGCAACCAAACTATGTGACATAAACTCAGTAACCATAGCAACCGACCCATGTGACCTAAACTCAGAAACCATAGCAACCAAAGCATGTGACTTTCCATGTGGTTTGTTTGGAGTCGAACTGGTTTGACTAAGTTCACAGAGTGTGATCCGTTAGGTCGGTGGTACCGTACACCGGCCGGCGCTGGTGTTGGACCTGCAGTCAGTCCAACAGGCGGCAGCTGCTGAAGGCTGCGTGTCTCATTGGGAAGCTTGAAGCGAGGGAAGGTTGGGCGGCCATGTTGTTGTGCTGGCAGGGTGATGAGGAGTAATCAGGACCTGGCACACATCTACAAACTCCCACAGACTTCAAACGGTGGAGCTGCAGCCTCCGCCTTCGCTTTAATTGCCGTCTTCCTCTCGGGACAATGGAGCGGTGGTCTGAGCGGCATGAGGCGTCGTCAGGAAGCAGAGCGCTCAGCCTCGCATTGTTTCATCACGAAGACAAACAGGGAAACGCTGCCACGCTCTGCCAACACTGACACACCTGCAGCCCACACTGGGACCCACACGTCTGCACCTGACCTCTGCCGGCGGCCATGACGGCGGCCATGACGGTCGCCTGACCCACCACCAGAAGAACAGAACCGATCTGCACCACAGAGGTGGAGCAGCAGCATCAAACCCAAAGATACACGTTCAGTTGCTCCACATGAGGTTCTGCGGTTCTGAGCTTCAGGTCGTTGTTGTTTTAATCCTGCAGCAGAAAAGAAGGAAGCAAAGAATGAAGCTTAATCTGCAGCTCGGCTCCCACATCTAACAACAACACGCTGCCCACGCCAAAGCAAACCCATAAATCCTGCAGAACCGCAACAAACCACAGGAAGCCCACGGACCCAGGCTGGTACCGGACTCTACTGGACTCACTACCGGTCTCACGACTAGACTCTGTACTAGACTCTCTACTGTACTCACTACTGGCCTCTGTACCGGACTCTCTACTGGACTCTGTTCTGGACTCTGTACCAGATTCACTACTGGACTCACTACTGGTCTCTGTACCGGACTGTGTGCCAGACTTACAACTGGACTCTGCACTGGTCTCTGTGCCGGACTCATTACTAGTCTCACTACTGGACTCTGCTGTCCATCTTTCGGTTTCACGAACCGGCAAACAGTCGACCTGCAGCAGAACCTCGGTGCACTTCAATATGTCCACCTGGTTCTGGTTCTGTTCACCAAACAACGTTAAACATTGACGTTAGACATTTGATTCCAGTTTAAAACCTCCAACAAACGATGTTTCAACAGATTAATTCAGTGTTTTTGAGTTTAGCTTCTGTTAGCTATAGTTAACTACAGTTAGCTCCTGTTAGCTACAGATAGGTCCTGTTAGCTACAAGTACCTTCTGTTAGCTACAGTTAGCTCCTGTTAGCTTTTGTTAGCTACAGGTAGTTCCTGTTAGCTACAGTTAGCTACAGGGAGTTCCTGTTAACTACAGTTAGCTCCTGTTAGCTTCTGTTCGCTACAGACAGCTCCCGTTAGCTACAAGTACCTTCTGTTAGCTACAGTTAGCTCCTGTTAGCTTCTGTTAGCTACAGGTAGTTCCTGTTAGCTACAGTTAGCTACAGGGAGTTCCTGTTAGCTACAGGTAGCTCCTGTTAGCTACAGGCAGCTTCTGTTAGCTATAGTTAGCTACAGGTAGTTCCTGTTTGCTGCTGTTAGCTCCTCTTAGCTACAGGTAGCTCCTGTTCGATACAGGCAGCTTCTGTTGACTAGAGCTAGCTCCTGTTAGCTACAAGTACCTTCTGATAGCTACAGTTAGCTCCTGTTAGCTTCCGTTAGCTGCAGACAGTACCTACAGGTAGTGCCTGTTAGCTACAGGTAGTTCCTGTTAGCTACAGTTAGCTCCTGTTAGCTCCAGTTAGCTCCAGTTAGCTTTTGTTAGCTACAGATAGCTCCTATTAGCTCCAGTTAGTTTCTGTTAACTAAAGTTAGCTCCTGTTAGCTACAGGTAGTTCCTGTTGGCTACAGTTAGTTCCTGTTCGGTACAGTTAGCTACTGTTAGTTCCTGTGAGCTACAGTTAGCTCATGTTAGCTCCAGTTAGCTTCTGTGAGCTACAGGTAGCTCCTGTTAGCTAAAGTTAGCTTCTGTTATCTACAGTTAGTTCCTCTTAACTACAACTAGCTCCTGTTAGCTCCTGTTAGCTCCAATTAGCTCCTGTTAGCTCCAGTTAATTCCTGTTATCTCTAGTTAGCTTCTGTTAATTACAGTTAGTTCCTGTTCGCTACAGCTAGTTCCTGTTAGCTCCAGCTAGCTTCTGTTAACTACAGTATGTTTCTGTTCGCTACAGTTAGCTACTGTTAGTTCCTGTGAGCTACAGTTAGCTCATGTTATCTACAGTTAGTTCCTCTTAACTACAGCTAGCTCCTGCTAGCTCCAGTTAGCTCCAATTAGCTCCTGTTAGCTACAGGTAGTTCCAGTTAGCTACAGTTAACTCCTGTTAGCTCCAGTTAGTTCCTGTTAGCTTCAGTAGCTTCTGTTAGCTACTGTTAGCTCCTGTTAACTACAGTTAGTTCCTGTTAGCTCCAGTTAATTCCTGTTATCTCTAGTTAGCTTCTGTTAATTACAGTTAGTTCCTGTTCGCTACAGCTAGCTCCTGTTAGCTCCAGCTAGCTTCTGTTAGCTACAGTTAGCTCCTGTTAGCTACATTTAGCTCTGGTTAACTCCAGTTAGTTTCTGTTAGCTTCAGTTACCTTCTGTTAGCTACAGTTAGCTCCTGTTAGCTCCAATTAACTTCTGTTAACTACAGTTAGCTACAGGTAGTTCCTGTTCGCTCCAATTAGCTTCTATTAGCTACAGTTAGCTTCTGTTAACTACAGTTAGTTCCTGTTAGCCACAGTTAGCTACAGTTAGCTCCAGTTATTTCCAGTTAGCTTCTGGTAACTGCAGTTAGCTCTTGTTAGATACAATTAGCTACAGCTAGCTCCTGTTCGCTCCAATTAGTTTCTATTAGCTACAGTTAGCTTCTGTTAACTACAGTTAGTTCCTGTTAGCGCCAGTTAGCTCCAGTTAGCTTCTGTTAGCTACAGTTAGCTCCTTTTAGCTTCAGTTAGCATCTGTTAGCTACAGGTAGCTCATGTTAGCTACAGTTAGCTCCTGTTAGCGCCAGTTAGCTCCAGTTAGTTTCTGTTCGCTACAGGTAGCTCCAGTTAGCTCCAGTTAGCTCCAATTAGCTTCTGTTAGCTTTTGTTAGCTACAGTTAGCTCCTGTTAGCCACAGTTGGCTCCTGTTCGCTACAGTTAGCTAACGTTAGCTTCTGTTTGGTCCTGTTAGCTCCAGTTAGCTTCTGTTAGCTTCTGTTAGCTTATGTTAGCTACAGTTAGCTACAGTTAGCTCCTGTTAGCTCCAGTTTCGACCAGTTGAGTTTTTACAGAAGAACTAAATGAAAACCTCAGAACAAATATTCTACTGTGAGAAGTAATCTGATTACACTCCCGCTGCAGTCAGTCCTCACTAAGACAGAAAAACTGAGCAGCTGATCAATGGTCCCAGTGACAGCAGCTCCGTGTTGAGACTGGGAGCTCTGGTCACAGACAGAGACTCACTGGTCAGCTGGAAAGTATCCAGATTACTTCACCTAAACACA